CGCCCCCCCCCCCATGTTCACCCTTAGAATTATGTTTGGTTAAGAATGTTTTATTAATATTTTTGGTTTACTAAGGGTTAGCCCATCTCCTGGAGCACATTCTACTAACAGGATCAGAACTATTTCCAGTCGAAGATTTTTCAGCTTTTTTAAGGTAACTTATTACAAAAGACTAGAAAAAATCTAATTTTTGTATAATTTATAAATGAAAAATAATTGTTTTTAATTTCTTTAATTTTCTCATGGTTTTTTTTACACTTAAAGGGGAATGTATGCGTAATTTAAATGACCTTTCAATTAAAGAAGGACATCCCCGATTAACAACAGTAATCTGAAACACTTTGACTTACCATCGAGGACAGAGAAATCAGTGTATTTAACTCTTAAACAACGAGTGAACAGCAGTAAATTGGAGTGTGAGCTAGCGCGTACTGTGTGAATTCATCGAGGTTGACTTCACATTTATTCCTGGAAAACTTTTCCATCGCGGTTTTCAAAAATTCGAATGTGAATATTTATATTCTGTTACTTCTAGAAAGTAAAGTTGTTGACGGAAGATTCTCAAGTTGAAGTGATAACACAACAGAGTAACCCCCGTCTCAAAAATCGATAACAAAGAATTCTCTTTATTTCCTGAAAAAATTACATAAATGATAACTTATACAAAATGTTATAATGAATGTTTATGATGAAAAAATTCTTACGATCTAATAGCTGATAACAAAGGGGTTAAATAGTTGGACAGTACTAAAAGACGTTTTAAACTTCTGAAATAAAATGACAATTAATTATTAACGAAAGTCACTAATTCTTTATATGAAAATATTCTTTGTTTAACTTTTTGAAAATGGATTCACAATGCAAGGTTGTTTACGACTCCGACAGGAGAACAAAGAAACCCGGGTTGAAATTGTTTGGTTTGGTTTTGGTGTCTCCGAGAGGGAATCTAAGTTGAAGACGACTTTACACGGGGAGCCTCTTGTTAATGGTTGACAAAAGAGTTCTGCAATTACAAGTGTATATGTAGATAAATAAGAAAAAGTCTGTCTTACTTGATCAGTCAAAGCCTCAAAGAGTTGAAGAAGGGAACCCTTTTAGTTTTAAATCGATAATGACCTCTCTTAAATGGAAGATCACTTAAAATTACGCCTACAGTCCCTTTAAACATAACTCTTAGCATATGTATACACTGGTTGTGGTTACTGACTGTCCAAATGTTTAATATTAAGATATTTGCCCTGTTTTCTTTGTGTATTTTGTAATTAATTTCATAACAAAAATTTAATTTATCAAATACGCCTTTAGTTCCCGAGGTGGAAGCAACAATGCGTACACAACATCCACGTTTACTAACTTTCAGTTTGATATTCCAAAAGAACATTTTCTAAATGCTCTAGACAGGTAAAATTCTAAAACAGTTTAATCTCTTTGACATCCAAAGCTTTTTTGTTAAAATCACTTTCTAGAGACATCAGAGACATGAATATCAAAATTATTACTTACAAAATTAGGCCTGGTATTGGTAATCATTAACGATTATTTATTTGATCAAAAAAATGTTTATTGGCCTTGAAGATCCTCTGAAAGACAAAGTAAACTTTCGATGACTAAGGTCGAAACCAGAATTAGATTTTTTCGACACATAGATAAAAAGATATATTTAGATACTTTTATTGCACGCATACATGGATATCGTTACAGAATAAATATCTCTTTACAGAAATCACAATAAGTGCAAATCTGATTTCAAATTTTAAATCATGGTATAATATTTTTTCTTTTTTACAGGTTCGTTTCGTTCTTCATTTGTCCTGTTTTTCATGAAAAAAATATACAACATCATATAGAAATTATACAATGTGAACACGAAAAAAACAAACAAAATGATGGGTGGAGAACTAAACAGGTTTTTTTTTTACTATTTAAACTATTTATTCTTTTTTGGCTTAATAAGAATTCTTTTAAATTAAAATCAACACCAATTTTTTGTTTTATCTGTGGTCAAAATTACAACTTATTTTTCAGGTTGAGAAGTTATACGCTAATTCAAAACATCCTTTCAGTAAATTCTCTACTGGGACAAGGAAGACATTTCAGGTTAGTTTCTTTTTAACATTATTCCTTACTATAATTCGATCTTTGAAATTTGGAACCAATGTATTTAAAACAGAGTTATATGGTTATTGGTAATCTATGTAGAAGCCATAGATAAATAATTAAACATTGGTAGCTTATGTACGCAAAATCACCAAGAATTGTACAGTCCGCGAACTCATACTTCTAGGGGTCAAAGTGTACTTCAATGATAAGCGGGGTGCTTTGGTGTTTTAATGGATTTCATAATTATTAAACCACTCAGGAGTGAATTTTATTTTGAGAATATCAAACTATTTCACTGAGCAATATATCATATTGACGAGAACTTAAGAAGGACATGAGAAGGACTAAACTAACTTAAATTTCTTTTTACAGAACTCATGTACACCACAAGTACTCAATAACATAAGAACAGCCAATGTTCACAACCGACCTGGTTAATCTATATAATAGGAATTCTTTAAAACATCTCTGTACATTTTTATCTTGCAAGATGATAAATGCGCAATCTATCTTTATCTATGGTAGAAACTTTGATTTAGATACTTTTAGGTAGACTCTAAATCAAATAAGAACCTGAAGTATGAGGCCTACAATTTTTTCAAAAGATATTACTCTGCTAACCTGATGTCTATTTGCATCATTCATAATGCATCCATTGAGAAACTAGAGGAGATTGCGACTGAGAAGTTTCTTCTCATCCCAAATAAAAATATTCCTCAAAATATATATAGGTAATATGAATTTTACAATTCGCTTCAAAATTTAATGTGATTTCTGAAAAGTTAAGTTTTTTCGACTTCAGACTTTTTCAAAACTCTTATATTACATTTCAAATAAAAAATATTTTCCTAAATCCGAAGTTTGTACGGGTGTGATGTTTGTACGGGTGTGACGTTTGTATCTGTCCGACATTTGCACCAAGGAGTAAGGAATATAATTGAGAATATATTGATTTTATTCCATTCTCCTGGTTTGCACTAGTCCGATGTTTGCACCAAGGAGTAAGGAATATAATTGAGAATATATTGATTTTATTCCATTCTCCTGGTTTGCACTAGTCCGATGTTTGCACCAAGGAGTAAGGAATATAATTGAGAATATATTGATTTTATTCCATTCTCCTGGTTTGCACTAGTCCGATGTTTGCACCAAGGAGTAAGGAATATAATTGAGAATATATTGATTTTATTCCATTCTCCTGGTTTTAGTGTGGTGTTTGCACCAAGGAGTAAGGAATATAATTGAGAATATATTGATTTTATTCCATTCTCCTGGTTTGCACTAGTCCAACGTTTGTTGGTGCGAGTTTTGTAGTATAGTATTTATATTGATATTTATTTTTACTTATAATTGGGATTTTTTCACGTAATGATTTCTTTAGAAACCCAGTTTTCCGGCCAGATCAAATCGGTCTAAAAATTTTTATCGTGCCTATTAGAGAGGTAAGGTTAAGTAAAAGGTTAGAATATTTCTTTCTACATTACCAAATATATTTCATTTTTTGGTTGGTCTTTCTAGCTTTTATTTAGTTTATCTTATTGAAAGATAATTATAAATCAAGTAAAAAAATATTTAAAAAGTTAACTAAATTTCAGATATATCATCTCAACCTGACTTTTCCACTGCTTGAATATGAAGAAAACTACATGTCTTCCCCAGGGTCATTTATCAGGTATTTGATGAAAACCGTATTCATACATATCCCATATTCATAATTATTCATGATTGTAATTATTTAATTGTTTAATCTGTTTTTTATGCTCGTTTTTAATAAAGCAAATAACTCCTACCTACAAAATTTAGGGCTTCTATGAATCATTTATTGAACTTTCTATATGAAAAGATTAGTTTGGCATTCCCTTTTAGACTATACTTTACTTTATGGGTAATCGTACAGGGTGTCCCAATAAACATGGAAATTGAGAGACGATTGGAATATCGTCTTTGATTTCCAATAATTAACAAATGACATTAAGTGCATCAAAAAACGATCGAAAGTCTAATGAGCTTTTCAAAATGAAGTCTACCTTATTTGTGTTATTCAAATTGACAGAGATAATAAACATTTGAACAGATATGTTAATTTTAATAAAATAGCTTCTGGACAAAGGAATTGAGTCTTTGCCACAAACTCTGATTTTCTAATCACTATAACTTTTGAACCGAATGTTGTAGACCTTATATATTTCAAACTATGAATTCTGTTAGATCAAATAATCTAAGTTTGAAATATCAAAGGTTTACAACGTCGGGCTCTAAAGATATTGAGGTTTAAATATTTGATTTTGTTCCAAAGACTCAATTCCTTTCCTAATATCTCAGTCAATTTTTAAGGTAAAAAATGGTAGACCACAGTTTAGAAATCCCAAGACTTGTTGTTTTCTGTGTAAAATGTTTTAACTGCGTTACTACAAAATAATGTTTAAAAAATAATTTTGCATGGAACAAAGACGATATAAAAGTCGTCATTTAATTCCCCTGTTTATTGGGATACTTTTTATAAGATATTTGATTTTTCTCAGTCAGTTGATTGGTCACAAAGGAATAGGAAGTTTATTTTCTCTTCTCTCAAGGTAAAAATTGTTCAAGATCGTTTTACATAAAGAACACTTTATGTAAATAAATGATTTTTGTTAAATGAATTTAATGTCCTTGGCTTTATTTCTTAGATCTCATGCTTCTCACTTCATAGTAATCCACTGTTGATAATGTAATAAATGTACCAAATTTTGCATATAAGAGGTGGGTTCCTTAAGTTTTGCTAAATTTCTTTGAGGTACTTTACGTCTTAGACCTATGATGTAAAAATAATGCAAATTCACTATATCTCGGAAGAAACTAACGAATGAATCTTTATTAAATTTATGCAACACATGTTTGAACCAAATATACGTGGTTCAACCACTTTGCTTTAGCTTGAGCGAGCGCACAAGAGAAGTGGTTGAATTATGGTCTGTGTTGTTCAGTTTTTAGAAAAACATACAAAACTAATGACTTTATTTACCTTTCTTCATTTTATTTTATACTCACAACCGTGCTGTAACTTATTTTTTACAAACAACTTTTATACATTGGTACACCTACCGAAACTGAGTTTATTGAGCATTACGGATTTTTGTGTGGTCCAAGTAAAAGATTTTCTATTGGCCTTACCTACCTTGGAAGATACTCAACTTTTAGAGAAAAAATTAAAGATCTGAGACGTCTAGACCTCTAATAAATAAGCAAAACTTAATAAACAGTGAACACACCTTATACTGCGTAGGACATTTGTTTTTTTTATCTGCAGATTGATCCAAAAAAACACGATTCGGGGTTTAAAGCCTTACGATCCTTAACAAAAGACAGCTTTGAACAATTAATAGTTCATTTTTAAAATATGTTTCAAATCTATATTGTAGAGAAAAACAGATTTTATGCAGGGCTTAAATTTCCCAATCCCGATATTTTGGGTCTGCTTGTATAATTTTGTATAGGAGAAAAAGGATGGGTAGATTTGTGCCCCCTCTCGCCCCCATTAGTGAGCGCACTCATTTTTGTAGCATTAAATCTGACACCTTCAAAAATAGACTCAGAAACATGACATTGTAAAATTAGTCGAAAATGGAATTTATATTTTTAGCATTTGTACGACATACTTTTTCTAAAGTTTTAAAATATGAATTGGCTCCGAAATATTGACTTATGATCATGCATTTCACCTCAAAATTTTTTTAAGGCGGAGTAGGCGCAAAGGATGTCTTCCAGACTTTTCGCTTATCTCTAGACCTTTTAAACTTTTAAAGGGTTGTTTGGGCAGGTTGGATAATGTTGAAAAAATTATACTGTCTCGAACCATCGTTTTAGTTATCAAGCCTTAGGATGTATCATTACTTTTTTGAGATAAGGTTTTGAAGTGTTGTTAGTGTTTGACCAAAAAAATTAAAATTAAAACTAATGAAACTTAGTTCATGTTTCTATTGGCAACTTGCTTACATACCTTTTCTGGATTGAGGACGTTTAAAAGAGATTGTTTACAACCACAGTATCCATTTTAAATGTATTTTAAATATATGAATAAAGTCAGTAAGTATAGATGGAATGGTCCGGAAGATGAATCGATTTCTTTAAATCATCCATAAGTATCTTGAGTTGATCAATATTCTTACCTTTATTTCATTCAATACCTAAAAGAATATTCTAGACGGGATCTTGCTCACAATGTGGTCTCCTGTTACAAGCGACTCAATCTTTCAAACTTCAGTTTTATACTTGTAACTGTTCAGGTAATATTAAATTAAATTGACCTTTTAGCAATTGACCCTAGTGGTTGTTTGACCCTTTGCCGATGAAGTCTTGTTTTTTCTTCTCTAAAGTACATCTATTTGTTAAGTTGACTGAGTATGGAGAAAGGCATATTGATTCCATTATTTTGATTGTGTTCCAATACATACATATGCTACGCCAACACCCTCTTCCTAAATACTTTTTTGACGAACTGACAAATTTTGCTCAATCAGAGTTCGAGATGAAGGTAAGAATATCCAATTTTATATCAATAAAACCATGAGCACTTGTCTCAAACTCTAATTGTTTAATCCTTTTGAAAAGATGCTCTTTAGACCTTTGTATTTTAAACTATAATTATTCTACTAGTAAATATTCTACTAGTAAATATTCTACTAGTAAATATTCTACTAGTAAATATTCTACTAGTAAATATTCTACTAGTATATATTCTACTAGTAAATATTCTACTAGTAATTATTCTACTAGTAAATATTCTACTAGTAAATATTCTACTAGTAAATATTCTACTATAAAAAATTAGCCAAATTTGAAATATTAAAGGGTTACACCATAAGGTTGCAAATATATTGGGATTAGAATTAAGAGTTTGAGGCAAGTGTTCAATTCATTTGGAGAGGTAATTTTTGGTTGAAGTTATTGTGCCCAGGTCATATGCTATTACCTTTGTAACTTATTATTTTGGTTTCTATGCTACAAAAATATCAAAAAATATGATATTTGCATGTAAAGGCAGTGACTCTAAGAACTATATAACATAAAGTCGCTGTGCACTAAAAGACCGTAGTCTTGTTTGCCGCAAACTGTAAAATACGACTTTAATTATCATATTTTATCCGAAGGACCGTGAAAAAGCTGTGACGTTTGCAGAAACATTAGCACATGCAATCCATATTTTCTCACCGAAACAGATTATAAAAGGTGATGTATTTAACATTTTTTAAGCAGAAAACCTTGTTCTAAAATTCCCCTATTTCTCTTTTCTAATCCATGGAGATACTACTCTACATTGTGACACTCCTGTTTTACCAGCTCAGTTTGCCCATCTTTGGCGTTTATGTCCATGTCAAACTACTAGTTTACAATTAATATCATAGGATGTTATTCATCAACGGAATGGAGACCTAGACAGATAGAAAATATTTTAGCAGAACTAAACCCATCAAATCTCAGGAATAAATTTCTTGTAAACATAATAAACAAAGTAAATTCTTTTCTATTTAAAAGAAGACAAATCTTTCTTATAAAAACTATATCTATAAATTTCTTCATCTAGTATGGAACACAAATTTTGTTATTTAAAATTTTTTTCATGCATGAGCATTATGCATTTAAATTTTTTTTAAAACTTATTTGTTAAAGAAAGAAGAGAGTGAGATGATGCGGGATCCAATGAATTAAAAATTTTCTTACAATCGTTTTTGAAGTCACTCTTAACCTTTGTGGATAACCCTATCCTATAGCTCCAAATCCTGTGGAAAATAATATGATTAGAGGCGTTACTAGTGGTGTCTTACATATCGATCAAGTGAAAGATTATCTTAATTTATTTTGAAAAATGAATCAATTCATAATGATATTTTAATTCATATTTGTGAGTATTAGGAATAAGAATTTATCCGTCAGAGTAACGATACTCACTAAAAATGCAAAGTATTTGGAGACCAAGGTACATTTCTAAGCTACAGGGTGAGTAAAAAAAATGGGATTAGCGTTCTTTTACAGCACTTAATAAAAATGTTTCCAGGGTTCATATTAAAGAATGAAAAATATTGAAATAAAATCAATAAAATTCAAAAATATATTTAAGTACATAGAGAAAAATCCGGACAGTACTTTTTCTTACAATTTTTATAGCACTTTAAATATGTCAAAAGCTAGATATGTAAAGTTAAATCTATAAAAAATCGGATATGGAAGTAAAATTATATAAAAAATAGATAGTTAAAAAAGATTTGTTCAGTTAAATAAATTTGGATTTTATTTATTTCTTAATTTGATATTATTTGCCTAGGTTGAACCCTACTATGGTACTGAATACTACGTGGACAAAATTCAAGAGGTTTACTTAAATTACCTTTATACAGAATCTTCAGTATCTACTATTATTTACAATACCTGGAAACACGGCAGGTTCTCAGCTTGCATGAAAATCTGAACATCCCCGTATCTTACCTCTCATTCCTGTCCCTACTCATGTTAATCCCCTTAACTTATTTCTCCCTGCCCCCATTCACTTTCTTATCTCTACCAAACTTCTCTTAAACTACCTCAAAGCTCCCTCTTCCACCTAACCTACCCCACATACCATACCTCACTTAATCTCCCGTACCTCACCTTCCCTACATCGCCTACCACATCTTCCTTACCTCGGCTTCGCACCTTTCCTCTCTACCTTACCTCCCCCAACCAAATTAAAATCGAGTCTTTTAGGATGTGATACAAGAGTGGAAGAATGCCAGTTTGAATCAAGATTTGAGGTATCAGTTTTAATTTATCATTTATTACGAACTACCCACTATGGTTTTTCTTTTTCAGGTTACCAAGTCCTAACCCATACAATTACACGAGGAATGCAATTTATTAAGGCAATTCATGACAAATAGAAATATGATTTTTTTATTTTATGGATAAGTAAATAATACTTATTCAATAATTAGGAGCGTAAGTTCTTTTGAAAAGAGACCTTCCCGAATTTGATTATGTGAAATTAGTTACATGACTAAAATAAAACCTGCATTTTCTCAGTTGATTTTTTGTGTGATACAGAACCATTATAAAATATTATTGAATGCAAAGGTTTTCCAGAATGAACAAATTCATCAATACTGGTAAAACTCGTCGGCAGCCAGAGCTAACAGTTCTTCTAGGTACATTTATCACCATTCATAAAAATCCATATTACTTATAACTTTATACTAGAATTTGGTGTTTTTATTTTTTTACATTTTTTAAAGGACTGTAAATCGGGCATTGCTATCTTTGTATTGAGGATTACTAAAATTACGCTTACATTTCTAAGAATGAAAAGTGATTATGTTAGAAATATAAAAATTTCAGAAAGAGCTCGAATGAAAGTTTGGTTATCTTCTGATCAAAGATTTCTGTTCCCCAAATCTTACTTTTATTTCAAATTCAGGTAAATTTGGATTTTTTAAGATCAGTTTATGAGTAAAGGTATTTTGAGTTATGACATAAGGAAGTGGTCAAAATTTAAACATTTGAAAGTATTTATTTTGTAGTTCTCCACAAACATACAGAACTGCAAGATCTTGGAACTTAACTAACCTTATGGTTAATATGATAAAACATATTCTGGTAGAATCAACGTATCCAGCTCTTTTGGCAGGTCAGCCGTTTCAAGAATTTATCTAATTTTGACATGTGTTTTAGAAACTAATACGCATAATACTTGTAGGTTTGTCGTATACTTTAAAAGCGGCAAAGTATGGATTTGAACTATTGGTACAAGGTTACTCAGAAAAGATCTTTATGTTTCTTCTGGAAATTCTTAACGCAATTTACTCAACACAATACACGCAGGTAACAACTCCCCTTTTTTCCCTTAAGAGTATATAGGCTTATTTCTGTTCATTACTATATCAATATTCTAGGGCAATCCCATCAGTGGCCGAATTTAAAGAATTTGAGCGGCGGTCTAAATTTAAACCGCGACGTAAATATGGTTTTGGTTCCACTTAAAATGGTATAAATGTTTCAAGATTTAAGCCGGCGCTTAATTTTAACCGGGTTTTGGCAGATTTAAACCGCGACTTAAATTCTTTAAATTTCATCTCTGGATTAATAATAAATGTGCCATTTTCAAGTCTGGTTTCAATCCTGAATTTACAAATCACAGGAATGAAAAGCCTTCTTTCTCCCTTTTTAAAACTTTTAGAAAAAAATTACCGTGCGATAGAAATTGAGATAGTATTTTAACAAATTCTTTACAGCCAATTTTACTAATTCTAGATAAATATATTCTTGTATAAATAAAACTGAGCAATCCTTATTACTACATAAGAATATATCTTGACCTAAGAAAAATACTGTTAATCATGATATATTGCTATACATTAACTTGAATATCATGTTTTTAAAACATGAATGATCTACTAAATGCAACTTTATTTTTTACGTCCCTGTTTGCGGATGATAAAGGAATGTTTAATGTGAGAAATTATTGACTTAGAAAGTGTCTTAACCCTAAAAAAATTGCGTCTTTGCCACATACTATGACTGAACTCAGAGGAATGAACAGAAAAAAATATTTTTTATTGAATTGTAAACTGTGATTTAGTATCTTTTTTTTAAAAAAGAGTATTGTTTACGTCCAATTCTTTAAAAGGTTTAAACAAGCCGCCCCCCTCCCCCTCCCTCAGATTTAAGTAAAAGTTCGTTAATTAGATGGACCCCACCAACACTTTATAAACATATATCTAAACAGTTTGTTTTTAATCTTTGTGACAGAAACAATCTCAAGGAATAATAATAGTCTTAAAACATTTTTTTGAAAGTGAATATTTGCAAATTATCTTTTTTCCATCTCATAATCTGAGTTCGTTTCCCTTATGTCCATTTGACAGTCCCAATTTTTTTTTAATAATCTTTTTTGTTTGTTTGTTTTCTTGTGGTTTTTAACAAATTTTTTAATATTTTTTTTATCGATTTTGATTGTTATTATATCGTTAGAACTGACGAGGGTCAACCCAGACCGAATATATTTTCAATAATTGTGGAACTAACATCTACTTTGTTTACCCTACAGAGGTTTGGTCCATCACCATCACCGAATTTTAAATCAGATTTTCTAATCTCTATCTTTGCAACCCAAGGTCGTAGACCTTAGTTATTTCAATCTATGAATTCTGTTAAATCAACTGATCTAAATTTGAAATATCAAAGGTTTCCAAAGTTATAGGGATTAGAAAATTGAGTTTGTGGCAAAGACTCAAATGTGATTTGTCCTAATTTATGACTTAAAACTGTACATTTTACCATGACACACATAATGACCGCTCAGGAACTGGTCTAAGATAAATTGTCAGCAATTAGATTTAACCTTGCCTGAAAATTTCAAAAACTGTTTATAATCTGTAATCTTTGTTATTGTTGTGATAAAACTGTTTCCTTGCTGTCTCTCTCACCTGAACCACTTTTTCATTGATTATCATTTATTTGTTTACCGTTCCGCCATTTGAAACTTTTCTGATTTAGTTTATATCCCTGAGCTTATTTTAATGGCCATCAACCTCCCCCCCCCCCTACTCCCACCCAATTTTTCAGTATAAACTATGTTAAAGATATACTAAAGCGTCTTTTATATTCCCAAATTTGTTTTTTCACTCGAGCCTGGAATATATGTATTGAAAACTAAAAGTCATTGATTTAAGTAAGAAAAAAAACACTATTTTTCAAATAAGTAGTGGGTAAATCAAGTTAGTTAGTGGTAATTTATCATATTTATTCTCACCCAATTATTTTGTAAGAAACCAAGGGATTTTATTTTCCAAAATTTAATTTTCACTCCAGAATGCACAATGCACATATTGCAACAAAAATAGTCACTAAGAATCTATGTTTGTTATAATGAACCAAAAACAAAAGCAACTTGAATAGTTTGATGAGCAAACATGTAATTCATGTTCTGAAGAATTACTTTTGAATCTATTCCCCTAATGGTGCAGATTTGATGCTTTTCAACAGTTGAATTGTATTTAAGAAATTTCCAACGGTTAGGTTAGGTTAGGTCACTTCAAAGCATTTTATCTCTCCAAAATGAGAAACCCGATTAAATTATGAATGCCTTTTTGAAGCTTAATCGAAGTTATAAGTATGTATCATCAAAAAACATTTGAAACTTTCCGCTGAAATTATGAACATAGTGTCTAATTTCTAGATCGTGTTAAAAAATCGTGTTTTAAAAAGTGAATTTTTTTTTATTTACAAAAAAAGTTGTTGATCTTCTTCTAATTTTAAAGATATAAGTGAAGTGAGGGACATTTTTTTCATTTGGGGTTGCATTAAAGAACATTATTTGATTAGTTAATTGATAACAAATTGGTAAGAGGTCGCTGAACTCCATACCGCCAGTTAAACTACTTCTCCTTTACTGTCAGTTTTAAATTTTTTATCACCGATTCAAAGTTCAAGATATGATGGTTTAACCGCCTCTACGTAGTTCACCGATTTCTCGCAATTCATTAAATTTTATTCATAGTTTAGTATGATCCTAATATCCGTTAAAAACAGTTGGGAAACGATATTATTTAAGGATGTGTTCTGTACGGTACTACACGTCCACAAAAAAGGGCTGTTGAGCTGCTTTGCCGAACCTTTAAAGTAAGTAATATTATGAATTAAGAATCTTGATAACATATACAAATCGAGTGTTCTGCAACGTTGTAATTCAAACGCGTATAGTTTTTTAGCATATACTTTCTCTTAATCTTAAAATAGATAAAAATTTTGCAATGCTGCAATTTTGCAATTGAAAGATTTATCCCCATATGTGTAAAATAAACAAACTGGGTATGAGATATTATAAAAAAATTCGCGTTTACTAAAATTCACTGTACACTATTTTATCATTGCGTAAAGCATATTTTAAGTAGATAAATAATTGAGAGCTAGGAATTCATTGTTCTTTGTTTACCAAAGTTATGGGCGCCTCTAAGTGCAGGAATCAACCACGATTTAGTTAATAATATTAAGTAGGAGAAATAAACAATAATCGTTTGTCTAGAAAAATCTTTGCGAATGTTGTTACAAGATACTGACAGATTTTAATCAATCTAGTTCAAAGATTTAGACTTTTTTGACTTAAAAGACTCAAAAAGAGTCAAAACGAGCTACACAATAGAATACCAATCATTTCATTTCTGATTGGTTTCGACGATTAGATAATATCGTTTTACATAGTAAAAAAATAGGGTAGTTAAATAGATGGGAAATCAAATTCAAATTTATTTTTTGAAGTTTAATAGTTCAATAGCTGGCCTCTCATAGTTCTCTTGATAAAATTCAATTTAGAAACCAATGGTGATTATGCTATTCCAGGCCTTCAGTATAGGTTAAAATAAATAAAATATCAATGTAGGTTGCTATATTCCAGCGTTGACGGCTCCACGGCACATTTTATGATAAAGGAATTGAGTCTTTGCCAGAAACTCTGGTTTTCTGTTCCCTTTATCTTTTGAACCCAATCTCGTAGACCTTAAATATTTCAAACTTTCAATTCTGTTTGATCAAATGATCTAAGCGTTAAACAGTAAAGGTCTAAAACATCAGGCTGCTAAGATATAGGAATTAGATTACCTAGCTTCTTTTCACTTATCATCTCAAAACTGTTAATGCGTTTTTTACTGGATAGCCGGAATTTAAAATTCTTTGTAGACACAAATTTTATCATTTAAGAAGTTACTTATAAAAAAATAAAAAAAAAGCTATCATACATTTTTTTATTTGTAGATCACAATCCAGATATTTAGTCAATACTCTCCTAAGCTCCAGGGTTTGGACCAGACAGGAGAGATGGGAAAGCCTACAGGATATTGAACTACACGAGGTGGAAGATTTTGCCCGAGTAGGTTTATTTAATTCCTTCTATATATAAGTTTGGCTTGTCTGTCTGTCTGTCTGGGTGTTTGTTTGTTTGTTTGTATCCAATAAACGTCAAAACGGCTGAACCGATCGGGCCCAAATTTTTTGTGGGACATCTAGGGACCCCAGGGAAGGTTTATGAATGATTGAAATTTTAAATATTTGTCTCCATCAAAATTCGATCGTCATTAAATTTTTTAAAATTTTGAAAATCCGCGAATTATTTTTGTTTTGTTTTATGATGTACAGAAAGAGAACATGTTCACAATTAATTTAGGAGATGGGCGCGAAGCGCCCTCTAAGGCTAGAAAGAAGGGCGCGAAGCGCCTTGAATTTCTAGTGATTATATATTTCAGTAGAAAGAAGAAAAAAATTATTTTTAATTTTATATAGGCTTTTATCATTATTTTAAATAAAAAACTTGATATCAAATTTCAGACGTTTTTGGATAAACATTCCTTGGAGTGCCTGGGGTTTGGTAATGTGGACAAAGACCAGGTAACACAACCATATGACAAAGAAACTGAGTCTTTGACACAAACTCAAATTTTCTAATCACTATATCTTTGCAACCTGATGGTGTAAACCTTTTATATTTCAGTTTTATATCATTTGGTCTAACATAATTCATTGTTTAATATATCTAAGGTATACAAGATTGGGTTGCAAGGGTATACCGATTAGAAAATTAGGGGTTGTGGCAAAGATTTAATTCCATAGAATAAAATATATTTTAAAATTTGTATTAAATTAAAATTAAATTTTTTATTAGCAATTTTGTTAGATAATAAACAATAAATAAAGACTTAAAAATTCTAAGTTAATCATAATTTTATCAGATCTACGCGTATCGGTTACTTGCCTAAAGAAAAGTGTATAAGAATTACTTGAATATTTAATGTAAACTTATCAATGAGATACTGTACTTGAAATGCATCAACTAAAACCAAATTTTAAAGCAATAATATCTATTCTATATACACAGTTCTCTTCAAAGATAAATTTATATATACTAGGCTTTTCCATCTTCTATTTAAATTGTGAACATGTTCTTTTTGTTTACATTTAAAAACAAAGAAGAAAAAAATTTTGCGGATTTTTAAAAAAAAATTCGCGGATTTTCAAGAATTTAATTTTATTTTACAAAATTAAAAACCTTTAAAACACATTTTTTATTTTTATCATTCATAAACCTTCCCTGTGGTCACGTGATGTCCCACAAAAAATTGTGGGCCCCATCGGTTCAGCCGTTTTGACGTTTATTGGACACAAACAGACAAGCCAAATTTATATATAGATTTCAAATATTACAATCGATATACCCAGTTCATATCTATATATTTAAAGAAGTAATCTGTCTGTTTTTTTGGTATTTCGGGAACCCATGGGACCGATTTGCCTCAAGTTTTGATTGGGGAACTTGGTAGACCCACGGGAATGTTCTTAGCTTAGTTTTGAAATTATTAGCTTAGCTTTGACTAGCTTAGCTTAGTTTTGACTTTTATATTGGGAACGTTTAGTTTTCAGGTAAAGCTGGGTTCCCAAGCGAGTATAGTTATATTTGTTTACATATTACAAATATCATATTAACCGTGCAATTCAATTCAAGTTCATTCCATGAGATTTTGAATAGAATTTACCAAAGTTAAAAGTGAATGAAAACGAACTGATAACTCGCCAAAAAATCTGATTTGCTAATCCTTTTATCTTTGCGACTTGATGGTGTATACCTTTGATGTTTTAAATTTTTACCATTTGATCTAGAACTATTTAAAGATTGAAATATCAATCAGGTTGCAAAAATATCACGATTAAAAAAAGATTTCGAGCGTGGTTTTATTTTTTTCTTCTTCATATTTCTACAGTCAAATTGAAAATTTTAAAGGCAAAACATTTTCCCTTTCACATTTAAACAATTTACAGTGCATGCCAAAAGAGTTGGCTGTATTTTAGCCATAAAGAACTAACACCTTGTTTAATGAAACTGTTATCTTGATTTACTTAAGTTCAATACTTTGTTTTGTCCGAATTCTTTCCAGTTTCAGATGTTTTGGGTATTTGGTCGAGACTTGTATGCCCTGGAGAGTCCTGACATCCCTTAAATAACCTTTGGAACCTTTGTGTTTTGGTATAGATGCACTATAATTTGTTAGACAAAAACGACGTTTAAGATTGAAAGGACTTGAAATATGTAATACACTTAAAAGTGCAAATATCCCTGGAAACCTCTTTATTTTTATGAACTAAGAAAAAATGTATCTCATGATACCAAGTGAACACTCTTGTATTCTTTGTTTAGATTTGTAAACTGTCAGAGATTCTGCTGAAACGAAGAGCGGAGTACTTGGAGTTAAGGTGTAGCAATCTTAGTCTTAAGGTATAAGTATATGTACAGTATACATAAAATGGATACATAAAGTGCATAGTAAACAGAATATAAATAAACGGTCCAGATTTACTAGAAATTTTATTTTTTTAAGATAAAAACATATATATTTACAATTTTTTCGTTTAAGTACACTTATGGTAAATAGGGAGAAAGTAATCTAATAACTTGATTGAATAAAATAAACATTGAATTACATTAAAATTCTTAATGATTTTGGCAATTAATGTGGATTTATGGGCATTTTTTGCTCAATGGAAATTTCTCATTTATTTATCATATGGTATTGTAATCATCATCACTGCAAAAACCGGACACAGGGCTATCATATCAGCAGGGAAATGTTTAGGGTCGCTTTCAGGAGTAGCTCATTCCCTAATTCGGATTCAGGCTGGTTATAGATGGGAAAGCAGGAAGGTGTAAATTACGTACAATGTTCAACATTTCAGGAATAGGCCTTTTTGATGATGGCCTATTCTGTTTGGATATAAGGGACTGGTGAAGGAAGGAGTAGTGCATGAGAGGCTCTGTCACTAAGCTATCCGTCATGCAGATATCAGGGTTTTTTGTACGTCCAAAGGACGTAAAAAATATACTAAAAGTGCAAATTTAAAATCCTCTCCAGGTCCTGATGGTATTCCGTATGAGATATTATTTAAATTCAACTGTCTTCACCACATATTAGCCACTCTGTATAATAAAGTAAATGTTCTGGGATCTCCACCCCCTTCCTGGTCACACAGTGTGGTCAAGAAAGGACCGACTAATGACCCAGGAAACTTTAGCATGATCTCTCTAACATCTTCAATTGCAAAAACTTACCATCTCCTTCTTGCAAGTCTGGTAATAAAAGCAATTTTCTCTCAGTGTAACCTTACAATATACCCCAGAGCCTGGATTCAAATGCCTTGAGAACCCAAGGCGTTACTTAATTAAGTCCTAGGACAGTTGAGCGCTGTAGGAACCCATATTATTTGCCGGTTAGATATAGCGTATAGCAGGATCAGCTGTATAGTGTTGTAAAGTGTTTATGGCTGGTGGAATAGAAACTTTATTGATACATTCATTACATATGGAGTTTTGAGTTTATTTTCTTTATCTTTCTGAATACTCTTTATAAATAAAACACCTATATCAATATTCTGTTGACGAAAAAATGAATATGATCAGAAGCTCTGTATGAGATTAATTCATTGGAAATTTTAATCTAACTCGTGTAAATGTTAATTTCGATACGAACAACTGAATTTAATTGCAAAAAAATACAAATTAGTGCTTTACAAAATTACACTTACAAAATTAGCAAAATGTACAACCTCCAATAAAACATAATCATTTATTATCCGGCATTGAGGTTACACACAAATCACAACCATCGAAATATCTCTTTTCTAAAATGCTCTCAAGTCATGAAACTTGTATGGTGAATGCTTAAAGAAAAGTCAGAAAGTATTTAAAGATTCTGAATTCACAAGATTTAACTAATTAATCATATATCATTTAGATTTCTTCAGACCCAAACTTAGCAGATTGGTTTAAAACGGACTCAGTTGAACGAATTGTAAGATGTGAGAAGGTGATACTACAGGCAGAGACCAAATGTTCAAATAGGTAAATCAGTGGTACAAAATATAATTTTAAATAAATAATAAAATATATGTAATCAAAGTCGGTAAACAAATGGAAAACAAATATAAAGAAATCGAATTTAACGATTTTGTTATTAAAAAAACATTGTTTTTTAAACCTAGAATATAAATAGGCTTCCATAGACTTTAAACATTTCGTATATTCCTTCACTTTATTAAATTTAACCATCTAAAAGGTTTAGGACGTTTAAAGGACTTAGTCTAAACGGCTGGACCGAATGGGCTGAAATTTTTTAAGGGAACCCATAGGTGCCTGGAGAGTATCAAAGGCTAAAAAAGCTTCGACTTTTTTCTTTCAAAAAATTTTTATTCCACGAGCAACACCGGGCACTTCAGCTAGTCGTTTATAAACCTACACAACAGCAAAAAGACAAGAGGCAAATATATATCTACATTCAATACACTCTACATATATTTTGCCAAACTGAAGATACATAGAAAATAATTTTTAAAAAATAACCTTTTTTTAGTTTTACATGTGAGTATGTGGAGAGGGATTTACTTCTTCCGCTTGGCTCCAATGCTGTTGTGATCAATAACGAACACCACACGATGTCCATGGTGGTGTTCTTTCTTCAGTTGAGTTCTATAGCTCTAGAAAAAACTTGCAGTTTAGGTAAGATCTCCGATTAATAAAAGAATTAAGTCTATTAAACAAAAGATTTAACATGTTTTAAAATATTTAAGCATAAGTTAAAAAGTATAAGTTTAAACTATAACATTTCAAACATAATTCTAATAAAATATGCAAGTTTTGGATACAACTTTACTAAGATTGACATGACATTTGATCTTATAGTCTTCTGTTTTTAACATCTCCCCAAGAACGTCTATTTTATTATTGGACATTAATATATATTTACAGGATTACCCTAAAAGAAAGAGACTTCAGAGACGACTGTACGGAATTTATTAAGTCTTTATTCAACAATTCAATTGTCTCTGCAGCAGTAAAGTTATTCTTTTTCAAATAACCATGCATACTAAATACTAGCTTGGGAACCCAGCTCTGCCTGAAAACTAATCTTCCTCTGCAACACTCACTCACCTTAGACTTTTTAAACCAGGCTAAGAACAATCCCATGGTTCTACTGAGTTCCCCAATCAAAATTTGAGGCAAATCGGGCAATGGGTTCCTAACTTATGATTGGACATTTAAACAAACAGACAGACAGAAAAACAGACATTACTACTACTTTATATATATAGATAATAGATATGTCTTAAGAATTTTATTCAGAGTTGTTTAATCATATTGTGAGAGAGCGGATAATAAGCTATTTGCGGAATAGAATATTCTTGGGCAACACGATTGGTTGTGATGTCAGAAAGATAAACCATACTATTGGTCTTAGGTACATTTTACAATTTTTTATTTTGGTACTTTCTTTTTTAACATACATGATTATTTAGTTTGTATTCGAGTAGTTTTGAATGTTTATGATGACCTTCTTAAATAAATGAAAAGCGGAAATGTTTCCAGCACCATTGTTTGTGGTCCGTTTAATGCAATATTTGAAACAAGTGGATTCAAAAGCAAATCTTAAAAATTTTAAACATTATTTAATTCATAAATTCTAGTTTAATAATTGGACACCCTTTTAACATTTCTTCAGTGAAAGCCAGAGTTCTGTAGTAAAGGAAGACGACTTTTAGATTAAAGTTAAGATTTTAAATAGTTCACTAAACTTTAACATTGCTTTTATGTCGTCTTTCTATTTCACAGTTTTCTTGGTATCACTGTTTCACAAAACGAATTCTACATATTAAAATCATTCAAAAGTTTTCAAATTAGATTCTAGTTTGATCTTAACTTAATCAAGGACAAAATGTAATTAATACCGAGTTGTACCTTGTATTAAGTTGAACCGCTTCTTTTTAACTTGAACCGGTGCACAAGAAAAGTGGTTCAAATCAGCATACGTAGGTAGCTCAACTACTTTTCAATATTAATGAAATTTGGTCCCAAAATAATTATATTCAGGTTTAGGAGAGAGTTTTTTAAAAAGTCGGAATTAACATATATTATTTTAGTTTTGTTAAGTACATAAAGAATCTAATTAGGAAACTTTAGATGTATATAAAAGTAATTATGTACATTTTATTCAATAATATTCGTCTTATGTTTGATTTAAACTTGATATTATAAATTCAAGATTTCTGTATTCTGAGAAACTGTTAACACCAGTTTCTTACAGGGCATGTTGATGCCAGGTAATACAATACCGAGACCTGATTGATATCCATTTAAACATATAATCTAATGTCGTTAACTTATTGAGGACATTAAATTTTATCGCCAAAGTATTTCTAAAATTTCAAAAGTGAATTTTATCTGCTCTAAACATGACAGAAACTGATCTTTATAGATCTGGTTTAGATCAGAACTTTTGGACCAACCAGTAATTGTAAGGGGTGGGGGTGGTAATAGCTTCTTATACCTAACTCCTTATGTACGCTTTCAGATTTAAGGGCAATATCATTACGCAAATTTATAATTTGCGAAAATAAATATAAAACTCTATTACTGATTAATTTTTGCTTTAGTTTTTGGTATACTGACTAACTTTTAGGATTCAAGTAGAGAGTCAATTTCCTCCCGCAGCAGTAAACTCCGCTATAGAAGACTGTTTAGAAGATCTTGATCCGTTTTTAAAATCTCTGAATCACTCAGATTTAAAGGTTCACCTGAACACACTTAAAGCATTAAAAGTGAGTGAAAGTGAAGTATTAATCCTTTTTTAAGCATTTTTAGATCCTCATGCTGTTAACCATGAAAATTATTATTGATAGGAATTTTGACTTGAAAAAGACAAAAAATAAATAGGAAAAGTCGTGGAAAAATAATTTTCCGATGATATTAAAAGTTTTATAGTATTCAATCTTTAAGTTTTAATATATACATAGCATATACAGAATCTAAAAGACACATAGTTCCAGACTGCTATGAAGAGTTTCATCTATTTTCAAATCTTGATCTAATTTATCTAGGCTTTTCATTTTATCTCATTAACTCGCCTAAACTTGTTTTATAGCCCTAGATATATTTATTTTAGAATTATAAAGCACTTTTTAAAGCTTTAGTTTAGAATGGCGAAATTCTCTTTGATTTCTGCGTGAGATATTGCAACCTTTGGATCACTTTGGTCAAGCACTTAGTTCATATAATTTTTTTCAAAACTTTGCAGAATATTGCCTGAATGGGAAGGTAATTTAACAAAATTGAGATTATTTCATTATTATTAACCTTTTTTTAAGAAAAGATAAGGCGTTTAGTTATAAATTTTTCTATTCGAATATTTGTAATAGATATCAGCTGACCTATAGATTTAGCAAAAGTTTTACCATTTGCTTAAAACCAACCAGGGACATATACCCAAATGCCCATATATAGAATCACTGTATCTGGCATCCAATTGTTGAATAGTGTAATAATCTTATAACAAAAATTTTTACATATTTTGTAAATTCTCTTATAAAGGAAGCCCAAAAACTAAAAACGGGTTTTAGTTGCCTCCTCTTATTAGCAGTTTATTTGTGTTAAAAAATTCCCATTAAAAAATGCTTTTTTTCTTAAAATGTATTAATTCAAATATTAAAGTTAAAAGAATATTGTTTTGAAGATGACGAGTGCTCAAACTATATAAATAAATATTTATATTAGATGAACTCTCATATGAAGATGATAGACTATAATCAGACCTTGTGGAGGGAAATCTTGGAGGGCAGTTATGACTTCAGAAGAAACCATCGAGAAGTGGAGCATCTAAACTTCCTGACTTTGTGTAAAGTAATTATTTAAAGTCTAAGTTATCTTGATTTGTTGTTTTTAACTTGACTTGCTAATTGTCTAGGTTAAAAACTTCTACAATGAATATATCAAACAAGGAGCTCCAGAAAGAAGAAAACTTTTACTTTCCATCGCACCAGACCCTACTCTTAATAGTGTGGAGGTAATATGATTTACTTAGCATATAATGAATAATAATCATAATATAACTATAGTTTACTTGTAATATAATAAAATCCAACCAAAAAGCTATTTTGCCCGTTTCAAAATTTGGCTGAAAGGTCATTTTAAATTACACCCTTTCTTGGCATTTTTCTAGTTATCGTTTTTTAACTTGAAGCAAGATTGAATATTGAAAAGTATCTGAAAGAAAATGATTATTTGGCAAAAATTCTTATTTTTAAATTCTTATGTGGCAGACCTTAGATATTTCAAACTGTTACGTTAGATCAAATAATCTAAGTTTGAAATAACAAGGGTTTACATCATCAGTTTTCAGAAATAGGGATTAGAAATTTTGAGTTTGTTGCAAAGACTCCATTCCTTTAGTGCCTATGCGGAGAACAAGCAATGTGCATATACAGCTGGGAAGAAATTGATAAGCTTAGAAAAAAGTGTAAACACTTTCCGGACCCTGAGGTGAAGGAAATTACTTCATGGTTTGTAGACGTCTTCAGGTAGCAATAAATGCAGGGGACGCAAGTTCTATACCGTGCTTATGTTCTAAACCTGTCACTGACTGTAACGATGGGAATGATTAATGTTTTGAAACTCTTACTGTGTTTCCAACATATCATAAAGCATGACGCGAATTACAAATACAATTACTAATTTCTTTAATAAAACTAAAACTGAGATTTTTTATTTTTAAATGTAAGTTTTACCTATTTCAAACCCATGCAAGGTTTTGGTTTTCCATTTTCGTAAATAACAAGTCGTCGAATCTTGGACGCGTTTAAAGCATAAAACCACTTTGGTAAAATTCAATAATTTGAGAAACAACACACTTTTTCACAGTTCACAAAATATCATGAACCGTAGAATATTAATTTGACAACTGTTATAATTCATTATGTTTTGAATTTTTACATTTCTTTGTGTCATCGTCTTAAGATTATCTGATTAGAAAAACTTTTTTGTTATCAAGTATTATAAATCTTAGTAGAGTATTTTTGATTTAAATCAATGGCTCAAAATCACCACAAAACACGACTTGTGCTTAAAAACACGCCTTGCTTTGAAAATGTTATATGTTCCAAATGAAATTAGTAATCGTTAAGTACTGATATAATAAAAAAATTGTTGGTTTAAAATTGAAGCCGGCCTTGGTGGTTTCTTTATTCTCGATTTGAGTTTAAAGACTTATAAGCTATTAAACATAACTTTGTTTCAAGTTTGGCCCAAACCTGACAATCAGTGTCAAGCATAGCCAAATCACGGTTTAACTTTCTTCCCCTGAAATCATAACATTTAAAAAAAAGTTAATAGAAACTAAATTTATTGATGTTAATTAAGAAGCGGAGATGATTCCTACCAACCACCTGGCCAGCAGCTAGAACCGTTAACAACAAAGCCTCTTTCAGTCCACTTCAAGTATCCTTGTAGCAATGAAGAATAATTTATGTTCTACACTTATTATATAGATTTGCAGTCACTAAAAATTCTGAAGAATACATAAATTTAAAATTAATAAGAGTTTGAGTAAAAAAATTAATTAATGTTGAATCTTTTCACTCTTCATTTAGGTCTGCATGAATAAACCCTCCATGCAATTTTTGGTTCGTTTTTAGCCTTCTTTATTATGCTTTTTGTACATGTATGCATATTTTCATTACTATTTATATTTCAAATTATTATGTATCAATTTAGGTGGAATTTAAGACGTTTGTAAATCTGGCAAGAAATATTGTATTTACTTTAAACAAAAGTTATCTGTAAGAATTTTTATTCCAATTTTTTCTTCAGCTTTTATAAAAATCTACACTTCTTCGAAGTTATTTTCTTTCGCCAGACTCTTTTCATCCCACTTTGCCTGGCACAAACTCGCCTAATATCACCCAACACAAAGTAGCCCAAGTAGAAAAATAAATCTCGTCTGAGCACCACAATTTTGGCCACAAACTATGAATTTCTAATCCGTATATCTAAATATCACGATCTCGTTGAGCTATAAATTCTGTCATAGATAGGATATAGTTTAAGTTTGAACCATCAAAGGTTTAAGTCATCTGATTGCAAAGATATTGAGATTAGAATGTTGGAAGTTGTGGAAAAAATTATATTACTTTCTGATGGTTTTTACAGGTTTTTTATTTCATTAGTTGTAAATAGAAGTTTTGTTAAAGAACTTTAAAAGAAATGAGTTTTTGCCACTAACTCTAATTTTGTAATCCCTATATCTTTGCAACCAAACTTTGTAGACCTTTTATATTTCAAACTTAAAAATGTGTTTGATAAAAAATTTGAAATATCAAATGATTATAGAAAAATCAAAGATATAGGGAGTAAAAGTTTGCGTTAGTGGCAATAACTCCGTTCCTTTCAGCGATACGAGGAATTAATAAATACATATCGGACGACAAAATATACCATTTTTTGAAAGATTTAAATGTTTGAATTTTACAACGTTCTTTACTAAAATCTCTTCATGGAAAATAGGCAAAGGAATTCCCCACTTTTGCTTTGGTATTTCTTGGGGCAAAGTGAACAATTGGTTTTCTGACAATATCCAAACATATCTAACAGCAGAGGGGTTGTTGGATTCAGGGAAAAAGGGGAAGTGGAATGTTTAGGAAGATTCTAATACGTCTGCAGCTGAGGGATTGGGTACCTCTAAATTAACATTTTTTGTGAGTGTTCCCTTATTAAAACCTACACTATGGGCTTTAACACTTGTGTTTCCTACAAGGGGGGGAACCTGAATCAGAGGTTCCTTTGCAGAGGAACCAGCACTACAGGACTTTTTATTGCAGAGAAACCTTCAGATTTGGCACCTTTTTGCTGGGAACCCTTTATACAGGAGGGAACTGGTCTAGAGTGTTCTTTTCCAGCGGAACTTACTCGGAGGGTTCCTACACTCGTAGAACTTGCTCCGATGGCTCCCCTATGGAAACAACAACAATATTCTTACGTTTGTGTTAATAAAATACTTTAAAACTTGTTCAGATAATGTTGAGATAAAATACATTTTTTTCACTGAGTTTGAAGAGAACTTGTATGACAATAGATGACTTGACAGCATCCCCTATAGAGATTGAAAAATGTGAAATTGTAGGGCAGAAAACATGAGATAACATGGGAAAAATGACATTAAAATGTCTAAGAAAGAATTTAAATTCTAAAAAGATTAAAATTCATAGATTCTTTTTTTTAAAGTTATTTAAAGATGAATCAACTTGTTTAAAGCTGTAGATAAAAAATTCACCTAAACAAGAAGGAACAAGAAGAAATCATTATTATGAGTTATACAACTATTGACATAATTAATTTTTTACGACTTCAACCCTTAACACAAATTTTCAGTCGTACCCCTGCATATAATAGCAACAAATTTAAATGTTATACAATTCCAGGAGTATGGAATACCATTTGCGTCTATAAGGAGTATATTGTTAAAAACGACCTATACTGAAGAACATAGCGTCCATACAAATTCAGAAAGTTGCAATATGCAACTCGGATCTTAAAAAAATCAATTTAATTTCAAACAAATCATTCGGATATTACAACCTATAGTTATCGATTATTTTTCGACGCATTCGTATACAGTTAAGATTTGATATTCGTTTTGTTACTTTGTATAAAATGCACTTAAAACGCCGAAATTGTTGGCCGCCAGATCTCGATGCTTAGAATGATTACACATGGCAGAGGAGGGGGGGGGGTGCAACTTACAGTTAACCTTAACAAACGCCACCTAAACGTGTAAGTTAACATTGAATCGTTTATTTCTTAGAAATTATAAAACCATATTGACCTCTGTTAATGGCCCTATGATGTACAATATCCTTAAAGCTTTATTTATTTCTCCTCAGTTTCGAAAATAGATCTGTATAAATATGTAACATGAAGCGCTAAATAAAATTACGTTTTGTGTTATAGATGTGTTATAGATGTATTTTAATAAATGACTTTTTTACTGACTATCCTAGAGGATTTAAATTAATCCGTAGAACTGCCCACGCTACGTAAGATTGCTTGTTTCTGATACATCCAAAAGTGGTCACCTCTAAAAAAAATTGATATACGAACTCTTTGGCAAAAAAGCCTTGTGCAGATTACAGAGGCTTAGGGCGAAATAATAATGAGAACCTTCACTCTACACTCTAGATTCTACACTCTACACTCTACACTCTACACTCTACACTCTATACATTCTACACTCTGCACTCTACACTCTACACTCTACACTCTACACTCTAAACTCTACACTCACTCTACACAACCCCCCCCTAAACATTTTTAGGGGGGGGGGCAAGAAAAATGTGTGTTATACTTAAACAATAGAAAACTAACCTTACCAACCGGATATTCAGTAAGTCAACACATCTGAAAAAGAAATCTATTCTGGTATAAATCACAAAAATAATTAATTTACAAATTACATATATATATATATATAAATTTTCATTAGTTATCCATAAATCAAATACTCAAAAACTGACAAGAAATGCCTTTCATTAAACATTCATGATTTTACATTAAAAATATTTTTTTTTTTAATATGACACATCACACAATATTTGCAGCGGTGAACATGTAGGATTAATTTAATAGTTGCATTACAGTATTAAAGCAATATCATAATAAGTGCCAGAACTGATAGTGAAAATATCTAAAAAATACTTAATAAACCCCCTTTCCCAGGAAAAAACAGCATAATGAAAAAAAACAAAGATTAAGGCACCTTGGAACCTTGTCAACCTGTTCTGATCTACAGCAGTAGTTAGGCTCGGAGACGAAGTGCTATATCGATTGAACTGTAAGCTCAACAAACTAACGTTCAATTATCTTTTTTTTATTTTACGATAAGAGCTCTTCTTAAATTTGCTCAGGGTCAGGATTCATGAATCGCTAAATTGCAAAACAGGGTGGACTTCGTCACTTCTGGGGGGCAAGACTTCTTAAGGGAGGGGCATGCCCCCTTAATCAGGCTAGGGGGGCCTGGTCCCCCTGCCCCCCCCCCCTAGTTGCGCGCCTGTCTACACTCACTCTACACTCTACCCTGTACACTCTACATTCAATATTCTACACTCTACACTCTACACTCTACACTCTACACTCTAACACTCTACACTCTACACTCTACATTCAACACTCTACACTCTTTACATTCTACACTCTGCACTCTATACATTCAACACTCTACACTCTAAACATTCTACACTCTACACTCTACACTCTACCCTCTACACTCTACATTCAACACTCTACACTCTACACTCTCTACAGCGATGAGGACAGAAACGACACACAAATTGAGGACGTAAAATGAAGACCCACGTTGAGGAATAATTTTGGGGACACATTATATTAAGGGACTTTTAAAAGTAAACAAATTGACACAAACATGCAATTACATACATACATCGCAGCTTTATAAAATAGGAAATTCAAAGAGGTTGATTATCATTATCATTCTAATAATGGTTTGAACGTAATTGCTCATAAACTGATGTTAGGACGGAAAGATATTTTTTTAAGGATTAAGAAGCGTTTCATTTATTTATTTCCATGATACTATAGTTTCTTTTCAGACCCCTATGTTCAAAAGAGAAAAATGTTTAAACGATTTTTGCAAAACAGGGCGGCTTTTTAAATATTCCGGGGAAAAGGGTATAATTAAAGAATTGTACCGAAATCTTACAACCCCCCCCCCCTCCCCACAACTTTAACAGATAATTACTTTCCAAATATATTTCCACTCGTCGTAAAACACGCAAATATCTGATTATTATTGGATTTGTGACTCTCTTGTGGAAGTGGCAATGTTATTATTTCCGTTAGAATTTTTCTTAATCCCGTTCTACTAAAGTTATATATTTACATGACTGTGTTATTTATTGCAAAATCTAAATCTGACTATACTATCATAATTTACTCATTTCACTCATATGGCATAATATTGTTTGTGGAACTGTCGGATTAAATAGGCGCATTTTCAAAAACAATAAATTTTAACATTTTTTCCGGTCTAAATTTGTCAATTTCGATCAACCAAAAATCTTCCCTGGGGTCATTGAGTTGACACGCAAAATTGGACCTGATAGGTTCAGCCGTTTGGAGACAAGCAAAAGATGTATAGGGTGAGTAAAAAAGTGTGATTGGCGGCGCCTGGTGCAAAATTGTAACTTTTTGTGCAACTCTCCTGTATGGTGTTTTTTTCAATATTTTTTTTTAATTCATAATTTTGTTGGTACTTCAATGGGCCAAAAAAAATCCGCGAACCTTTTTTTCTCTCAAAATCAAAAGTTCAGAAAATTTATTTTTGAAATAAATATTTTAGATCAGATTCTACATATTTTAGATCCATTTTCACACATATTAAATCCAATTCTACATACAGGGTGTCCCAAAAAACTTGGGAATTCAGTGACGAATTCGATATCGTCTTTTTAAAAAAACAGAACAATCTGAGAACTTACATCTAAAAACAGAACAATCTGAGAACTTACATCTAAAAACAGAACAATCTGAGAACTTACATCTAAAAAAAAGTTTTCGCGACCATTTCGCTTCATTATTGCATTTCCTTAAGAAGATAGCTTAGTGAAATAAAATTCTCTTCATCAAACATTTCTATAAGTAAAGAAGAGAAATAATTTATATGACAAAATAAATCAGAGCAGAGAATTCCACAAGTTCTTTTGAGCAATTAATTGTTGCAGCTATAAAATTTCACAAAATTTCGCGAAAAAACGTTTTCGCGAGATTTCGCTTCGTTTTTGCTTCATTTATTTTTGCTTAAAAATGCGAAATTTCGCGAAAAACTTTTTGTGAAATGCGACCGAAAATTTTGCATTTTTTCGCGAAGAGTTTCGTTTGCTGAAAGCCCGAATTTAACATGATAATTTTGTTGTGCAAAATCAAAATAATAAATAAGAACATTTAATTTCTGCAGTCTTGTAGTAACTAGCAAAACTAAGCGCTATTACAGCCCTTATATCGTTGTTTTCTCAGATAAAAATGGAAAAAACAAATAATTCTTCATGCCTATCTCAAAGCACAAAATTTTCTCATCACCCTTTAAACTCAAAAAGGAGGTATAAACCAAAAAAACAATGACTTTTTTATTTAATGTGTTTGGTTTAGAGAACGGATTCCTCATGTGAAGTGGTACCAGAGAGAAAATTTTATTCATCTGACTCTAGAGATATCAAACTGCAAGGTATACATAGAAAACTGGAAAGACATTGAAATCAATGTATGAAAAATATTTTGACCCCTGTATCTGTATCTGTTAAAAAGCCAGAATTGATAAATAAACCTAGAAATATTCCCCGATCAGAGTGGCTGACGGTAATTTAACATCTTAGATTGACGCGCAAGTCGGCTAATTCGGACGTCCGCAAGACTCAAATTTACACCAGTATAGAACGTCTGATTTAGACATTAAAGACGCACTTTTGTCAGCGCTCAGATTCTAAGGTGTCAAATTCCTAATGGCCTGCTCACAGCAGGAGTCCGTTGCAGTTCGCCCGTATTTATCTCTGTCTGTTCATTGCGGCGCCACATGTTTTTGTGGGTGCAGCTGTTTTCAAGCTGTTCTCATAATAATAAGCACTTTTCTGAGGTGGAGAGGGTAAAATCTGCATTATAGAAAAAAATGTAATTTGCTTTTTCCCCAAACTTAAATTGAGGATGTGGCAGACATAAGACACTTTTTTCCAGAGTAGTACTTTTGGAAAACTTGTTGAAAAAATGTTTATAACAAATTAATGACGGCTTGGTTTTTTTTTACAATAAACTACATAAATAGAGGAGCTACGAAGTCACAGGAAAATCATGAAATTTTAATTTCAAACTCGCTGCATAAACATGATTTTTATCCTTTTTCTGAACTTTAAGTCTTGAGCTGAGAATTAATTAAATTATTGTACGTTTTAAACAAATTTCAGCACTCTAAACTTAAAAATTCAGAAAATGTTTTTTATTTTTGATCAAAGTTTAATGTTCTTATTATTAAAGATAAGAAAAAAAGTTTTAAAATTTATCATAACCCCAACGAAAATTACTATTCAAAATTTGGCACATAATGATTTATTGAATTGAATTATTGAAATATTTTATCCCCCTGGAATTTATACAGGCAATGATTAAATTTTTCTTGGAGTGGGAGGAAGAAAATTTTTTACCAAATAATTTTTAAATTAAATTAAATTTTTATATATTTTCATTAAAAACCAAATTTTAAAGGCTAAAGAAGGTTCCTGCTCTCTCTACTTACGCCCCTTATTTTTACAGGGTGGGTGGGGGGTCCCCCCAATTTACCAGGGAAAGGGACGTCCAACTTTCATTCATAAAATTTGTTCATAAACAATTTCTGGACATAGTTTAATTAATGATGGCTTGATGAATGATTTGAGTGATTTTTTTCAATAAATGAGGAAAATTATAACATTTTATTTTAAATCCACATTAAAAACTTTGAAGCCATTAAATCCACTTCTCCCTCAGCCTAGAACACCATTTGAAGGAAATTTGTCTGCAAAAATAGCCATTTGCAAACCCTATCTGAGACATAACCTTGGATAAACCTTTTTTTGAGATCTAAATATTTATTTTATGCTAATTCATTTAAAGATTTAAACAGGTTTACATTACATTACAAGATATAGCATTACATTTGCATCATTTTCATAATTTTCCTCAATTCTAAATCTAGTTCCGCCTTTTTAGGTCTTCGTTTAGGCTCGGGAACAGGCACAGGATTAGGTTCAGGTTCAGGGTGAGGATGAGGTTCAGTTTCAGGTTCAGTTTCAGGTTCAGCTTCAGGCTCAGAATCAGGGTTAGAGTAAGGATAGGGAGACATCTGGGACATCACATTTTTCTCCTCCTGTTCGGCATCCTGGAAAGAGACTGGGGGAGGGTACCGAGGGTTTGGGAGAAGGAAAAACATTGTTTACCTCCTCTAGACCATAACCTCAGCTCCACAGATTCACCGGCCTTCACAAATTCCTGGTATAGAGCCAGGACCCGCTGTATTGAACCCATGTGTATTTGTTAAGTTGAAACAGGTTGACCACGTAGAGTGGTCGCTCCCAACATTTCAGCTGATTTGGGGGCCAACACAGGTTTGCGGCCAAACTAGGCAGGGAGGAGAGAGCTGGTTGCTAACAGGTTGAATGCCGGGTCAAGACCTTGGATAAACCTGTCCTCCGCGGTCCCATCTCACTCCTGAGTCCTGACCCCACATCAAAAACGGCATATATTCCTGCCGTTCCAAACCAAAACTCGTCTTTTAGAGTTTCAGTACAACTAAATTTTACTGAATTCTTAAAGACCTTAACTTTATAATCATGCCAAATTATAACAAATATCTCAAATATTCTGGACTTTTGTAAAAATTTCTGTTTTGCAACGGAAACTTAAACGGCATGCTAATTCTTTTTGTCTCGAGTATTATAATCTTCGTTAATAATATTTCAATCATAAGAACACCCACAGGAAATTGTTAATATTATCATAGTAGCATATTCAGATATACATTAAAATTTATGTTACAGTATGTGAAATAGATATTGAATGTTAATGATAATTAACCTCTTTTATAGACACCGGAAATTAGACTGGATGCAGACAATTTGGTTTTCAGGGGTCAAGGAAATCCGGATATGCTATTTTACGAACTGAACATAACTTTTCTTCACCCAGTTAATCTTCAGGTCGAGAAAATATCTAATATTTTCAATGTTATTTCAAAAGTATGACATTTTGATGATTTGTTCTGCATTCTTTTTTTCTTTTTACATTACAGTTTTATTAATTGTCTTCTACATACTAAACGAGTTGGAACTGGGTCACATAGGATGTCGTCATGAAAATTTTCGTCAAAAGCTCTTTGAAATTTGTGACAAATTAATTGAATACTTGATATCTATTTGAGTGGCAGTAATTATGAGTGAGGTATTAGGGTAAATATTTTACTTTATTTACTGTAATACCCTCTAATAAATTGAAAAAAATTAGACCTGATCGGTTGAGCTGTTATAACAAAATTATTAATAGAGGTAAATAGCGAAAATTTTATTTTTTGGCGTATTACGCTTGAAAATTGTTGAAAATTGGGATGCGTAATATAGTGCGAAAATGTTGTTTCGCTTGATCCGTGCAAAGTATGCGCAAAAAAGTCGGAAAAATACTGTTTTGTAAAAAAAGCGCAAAATTTGAACTAAATTAGACTTTTCGTGGAAACCCTTGGAATACTATGCGAATGTACTGCAGTATGTCAGAAACATTTTTAACGGTAAAACCATACAGAGCAAATAGATTATCAAGTACAATAGGTGGCAACAGAGAAATGAACCATGCAATAATACACAACGTCACGAGTGTCAAATATAACAAGGAAAACGAAATTGTCTCACATTAGTTGACATGTTTTCCAAGATTAAATAAAAAAGTGTAAAAACAGAAACTAGAGAACACATAAAATTGCGCTTATTTTACTGTAAGAAAAGCACTTTATTTTAAAATTATCACTAATATTGATAATTTTGTCGGACATAAAAACGACTAAATTGACACTTGTGAAGACAGAATACAACTGTACTGAGAGTGTACACATGTACCAGAATCTGTTTGATACAGAGTAAATTGTGATATAAAGTTTAAGACAAGTTTTTATCCAAAATTATCTCATCAATTTTTATTTATATTTTGTAATATAATCAACTAAAATCATATTTATTTTAGAAAACAAACTATTCCATTCATTCACGAGTGGTTGAGCTGAAGTTTGGTAAGTTATAGCTTAGTATTTCTCTGGTAGATTTTGCACTTGCTATTAGACTGGGTTCATGATATGGGGCCTGGGTAAGAGGATTTATGTTTTTCACGATAATGATTGACTTTGATGAACATAATTGAAACCAAACTGTGCATTTTAACATGCATACTCATATCATGTTCAATTAGAAATATCAGTACTTATCATCGTGCTTCTATGCTAAATTAATACAGAGCTGTGCTATAAAGTTAAGCTTAATTAGTTCATATATATTAAAAAAACATTTCTAGAATAATTTTTCAATTATCAATGAAAATAAAATTTAAAACATTTTTTATGCTTGATCAAAAAGCTTGCTATATCTAGAAATAATCATGCAAGACAGGTTTACAAACATTTATCTAACAACAATTTGGCCTCGACGTTTTATACAGTATTTAGACTTGAAGGTATCTCAAACGATCTCGCCTCTTTAGATTTGTCACAAACTTAAGATTAGGCAACTAACATGACCCCCAGGAAAGGTATAGGCCTTACCTTTAACATTGAAAATTCGACCTGGGAAAAAATATAATGCTAATTAAAAAACCCACACAATTTAAACTTTAAAATCCGCCAAAAAATTTAGTTTTACAATTACAAAGATAAATGTCTGAAATGGCTTGAACATTAATGCTAAAATTGTTAATAGAAAAGAGGATTCGAATTTCCCTAAAGGTCTAGTCTAGTAGAATTCATTATAAATAAAAAACATATGTAAAAGGGGTCTTTTAAACCGATTTAACTTCATCAACAGAAATATGTGGCTTGCCTGTCCGTTTTTTGTATGTATAATATAGGGATTAGAAAATCAGAATTTGTAGCCAAAATCATCTCCTTTTGTGTAAAAATTCAGTATTCACAATACCAATTATGACTTTGAACACAGCTAGATGATTTTCAGGGACGGACTTAACCAATATCTCCGAGTGAGGCCCATATTTCCTGGAAAAAGGAACACAAAGCAGTAAATTCCAATTTCTTATTTGTTTAAAAAATATAAGTTTACAAAATCACAAAAAAATTCACTATCAAAATACATAATCAAAATATAAATAAAACCAAACATACATGTGCGGACGTATTTAAGACGTACTTTGTATGTCTTCGTACTCTACAGTGCTTGGCCGCTAGATGTCTCCCAAAGTATAGGTGTCGGTACATAATAAAATTTTACTATGTGTTTTCATTTGTTTTTGCCGAGAGGGGTCGTGTTTCATCGTACTTCGGACGGCCGTCTGTGGGACGGCCACAGTCGGAGACGTCACATGTTAGGAAAAAGTACGGATGAAAGGGTTTCAACTTTAAACTTTCCAGATTTTCTATCGTTTAAAAGATTCTGCTTTAGAAACTTTTTAGGCGCTTTTTAAAATTTATTTATTTTAGTTTTTAACAGTTGCTCTGAAAGTTATTTTTTTATTTTAGCTTTTAACAGTTGCTCTGAAAGTTATTTTTTTATTTTAGCTTTTAGCAGTTGCTCTGAAGTTATTTCTTATTTTGGCGGATTTTTAACCTACTAAACATCGTTGTATTGTGTTAAAAAGTGTTTCTAGTAAGTACAATCCAGATGACTTTATGCTACTTTTTAAAAAGCTTCCCCATTTTAATTCATGAGAAGTCAAATTCTGTTTCTCAAAAGACAAATAAAAGAATAAAATCTGAAAACTTTTCTTAATATAAAGACTATGCGTATTCTATATATATACACTAAACTATAAACTTTTAATAATCTGATTAAGATCATCATAAGATGTCACAAAATGTAGTGCTTATCCATATCCAATGAATTAAAAAACAAGTTTCGAGTTGAAAATTCATATCAGCAATTTCCAACCATTCTTAGCACATAAAAATAATTTTTTTCTACAGGGTGTCTCTGATAAAAGTGTGTCGATGAAACATAATTATCTAAAATGCCGTTTAAACCTTTAAAACGTAAAAGTAGACCTAATTTTCGAAAATTTGCTGTGTGTCTTTTCAAAAGATTTTCGAAAAATTAAATTATAACTTTATTTTTACATTTTATACGACAGAATAGAATAAATTTTGCGGATTTTCCATGATAGAATTGAGGATTTTTAAAAAGAAATGTATACACTTTAAGGTTAAACGACATTTTAAAGTAAAATATATTAACGACGACCCCCCAATTTATGGGCATTGTACCTGCTGTTAACACTTTTAGTAAAATAAAACGACGTTTAGTTTGTGAAAAAGTGATTAATATCTTAGGAAATTGGACCGAGCACATTTCCGAATATTAGGCCTAATTTCAAAGGTTAAAATGACATTTTAGAGAAAAATGTTTCATCGATGACCCCTCCCCCCGTCCAAAAAAACAAATAACAAATATTATGAAATATTAAGTATATACGAAAATAATCGATGACTTTAAGTTTGGAATATCTGAGTGATTTGTTTAAAATTAAATTGCTATTTTTACGATCCGAGTCGTATATTGCAACTTTCTGAATTTGCATGGACGCTACATCCTTCAGCATAAGTCGTTTTTAACAATTTTCTCCTTTTAGGCTTAATAGAAAGTAGTTAGATGAGTAGTGATCTAAAGCGATTATTTTTCGCCGTAAGTCTACACTCACATTCGTTTTTGAAAAATGCTCTTAAAACGTCAACGATATTTTTCTGCTAGGTGTCTCTGCCACGTGTAATCATTCAAAATATTGAGAGCAGAGACATCTGGCGACCAACTATTTCTGCATTTTAAGTGCATTATATAAAAAAACGAATAAAAAATATGAAATATTAACTATATATGAATGCGTCGAAAAACTTTCGATGACTGTAAGTTGTAATATCTGAATGATTTGTTTGAAATTAAATTGATTATTTACGATCCGAGTTACAACTTTCTGAATTTGAATGGACTTAACTTCTTGAGTATAAGCCGTTTTTACCAATTTTCTTCTTATAGCGCGCAACAGAGTGAAGTAAGATCAACAGCAATCAAAAGCGATTATTTTTCGCCTTAAGCCTATACCCCCTTTCTTTTTTTCGCGAACACTCTCTTTAACTATATATATGCGGCGAAAAATAATCGATGACTATAAATTATATATCTGAATGATTTGTTTGAAATTAAATTGATTTTTTTTACGATCCGAGTTGTATATTGCAACTTTCTGAATTTGCATGGACGCTAAGTTCTTCAGTATAATTGTCGTTTTAACAGTTTTTCTCTTATAGACGCAACAGCTAGAAGTAAGATTAGTAGTGATCAAAAGCGATAATTTTCGCCATAATACTCCAATTCATTTTCGCGAACATTCCCTTTAAGGATACTGTTGTGTATAGAGCATTACCATCTTTGCATGGAGGGTCAATTGAAATTACCCTTACAGTCCAGCTTTATCGATCTCAAAATTTACGTTTTTTGCTGTTCGTTAACAAAAAATTAAATCTTCAGTTCATTCACGGAACGTGGTCCAGCATTAAATCTCAGAAATAAAATACTTAATTTAACCTTGGGATTGTCACATTTTACGGTTTTTCGGTTGTCTTTACAGTCGCATCCTTTGTGGATAACCCTGTAGCATAAAGGAGCTGCACAGACTTTCTGAAATTTCAAAAAAGGGGTTTACAAAAATGGAATATCCTACAAAATTTGGTCACTGAAATCAGTTTTAATTTAATTAGTTTGCTGTAAATTATCAAAAATATTCTTAATATTTAATGATAGAAATTTTGGATTTTAAATTTAACAAGATTAATTAATTACATTTTAAAGGGGGGGNTGACCCCAGAAATGAATTCCTCGTGCCCAATTACCTATAAATTGACATACAACATGTAAAATCTGTGCTAAGATGACCCATAATGTAGCTGCCGGCTTCCAGCGCGCCGGTCAGGAGGCTCCACTGTCTATTTTGACCCCAGAAATGAATTCCTCGTGCCCAATTACCTATAAATAGACATACAACATGTAAAATCTGTGCTAAGATGACCCATGATGTAACTGCCGGCTACTAGCGCGCCGGTCAGAATGCTCCAATATTCATGTTGACCTCAGAAATGAATTCCTCGTGCCCAATTACATATAAATCGACTGTCAACATGTAAAATCTGAGCTAAGTTGATCCATAATGTAGCTGCCGGCTACCAGCGCGCCGGTCAGGAGGCTCCACTGTCTATTTTGACCTCGGAAATGAATTCCTTGTTCCAATTTTGCTATAGTTTGATGTATCTCATGATACTTTTTTTCTGACTTAGGCCAAACTTAGCAAATAAGTATTCAAAGATATTTTCTTTTATTGCGCGCGCGCGCGGACATTTAAGGCTTTGGAGGTGAATTTATTGAGCGCATATTTTTTTCAAGAGTATCAGGATAAATGTTCAAGTGCAATTAATGAAGTTATGATTGATTTATTGTCAAAAAAGTCTTATTTTTTCACGCGCACTTTTGCTCAGATCCGTTCAAAACCAAAAAATTGCATGTAATATACATAATTTTAAGCTTGCATGCAAAAAATCAGCCTCTAATTCTGATTTTAAGTTATGTTTATACACTGTTTAAATTTCCCGGAGAGTAATACGTGTTATGCCCACCCCCCTGTAGTCGTATCTATGAGAAATCATCTTTTACAATCTAATTTTCCTCAAATTGAATTTGATTTTGACCCAACTACACACATTAGTATGAATTATATTTATTCTGTATTTGCATGTTTGTTTTTCGATCATCAGGCGCGCAACTAGGGGGGGGGGCAAGGGGGCAAGGTCTCCAAGCCTGATTAAGGGGTGGGCATGCTCCTCCCTTAAGAAGGTTTTGGGAGGGGGCAAGAAGTTCATTCCTGCTTTGCAATTTATCGATTCATGAATTCCTGGGATATTTTTAGATATTTTCTGTCACTTATTATGATAAAGCTTTAATACTGTAGTACAACTATTAAATTAATCCTACATGTTCACCGGTCACCGCATTTATTGTGTGATGTGTCATATTAAAAAAAAAACATTTTTCATTTAAAGTCATGATTTTTTTAATGAAAGGCATTTCTTGTCAGTGTCTGAGTACAATGTAGATATTTGATTTTTGGATGAATAATGAACATATATATATATGTAAATGTAAATTAATTAATATTGTTGTTTATAATAACCTGAATAGATTTCTTTTTTAAAATTTTTTTACTTTTTTAACTGACAAATGCCCCTCACCGTAGGCTTAAAGAAGAGGTTTTAAAACCTATTGCCTGAGTCCTCAGGCATACTGCCTAAATACCTTATTTTACCTATACTAGACTAAATCTTTATTTAGACCTACTATTTGTCATTGGATTTCAACATTTTATAGCTCGATAGAAAGCATTTAACACAAAGATAGTTTTTGAAAATTGTTTTTGCATATTTGAAATTGTTGGGTCAAAGCTTTTCAAAAATGTATAATTTATCATAGTTCGCAAACTTTTTGCTTTTGCACATTTTTTGCTAAAAACTTGGCAATAAATACTGAATTTTTGAATAATGTATCAAACGCTATAGATTTGTATCTGGTAAAATTTGCAGATTATTAAAGTAGAGACCAAGGGCTTTTCAAAAATGTATCAAATTTTGATTTGTATCTGGTAAATGAGACGTCAGACTGAATAGAGTTAATTAACAATTAACTATTTAACACAAATACAATTGAGAAAATTCATTTCAGTGACTGTAATTGCTGTACCAATGTTCATTAAAGTGTTTAAAAAATAAAAATGATAAAGAAAAAGAGCGGACTACTTGCAAGCAACTCTGATTTTTTAAATTTCTTTATATTTTTAACCTTATTATGAATACACAGTTAATTAAAGTACATGAAAGGGTAAAAAATGTGCATTATTTCTATATAATATACGTTTGTATCATAGAAAAAAGTATTCCGAGCTGGTGGACAAGATTGGTTAAACCAAAAGAGCATCAACATTGGCTAAGGTAAGTCAGAGAACAATGTTTTTTTTTATAAAAACGCATCAAAAGCTTTTTAATTCAGCGTGCCATAAGGCATGGGGACACGGAGTTTATAAAGAATTAAAAAATACAGAAAACTATGTATCACAGACAAAAATAGACACTCAGCCAACTCATCTTGCGAAACCTCGATTTCAAGAGGAAGTGGGGTTCATACAGTACACCTAGACTGAAAGGAACTTGAAATCATCCAATAAAGAAAACTTATAGATATATAGTTGCGAGAAGTAGTAAACGGTCTGTACTGGATCAAGTAAAATATATTTACCCCTGAAATTTTGAAGAAGGCTTCGATATAATTTTGAAAGAATTTGAAAAACTGTACTCTTTACACTACATATGATTAGATATGAATAAATTTCTGAAATCCAAGTCAAAAATCTTTTAAAATTCCCCTACCCCCTCCCCCTTCCCCTCATACCTCCATCCCCTCACTAACAGAATGTATCCTGTCTCTCTTTTTATGACATATCCCCTCCCTCTCCACACCTCATAACCCCCCCTAATAATTTGTACCTGAATAGTTGTCTGTTACTTTAGTAAATGTCACATGACCTCACTAACCTATAAATCTACTATAAAGCAAAAACACATGTCTCCTGCCTCTTTATAACCCCACCACCCCCTCATATCCCTCTGCTTATGAAAACCCCGGTTAAAAATCTAAAAAATCTGAATTTTTTTAATAGTTATAAAAATCTGAAAAATTTGTAAAAAATCTAAAATTTTTTTTAAAAATTTGAAAAAATCTTTAAAAAATTCAATAAATACTCATAGCCCTCCCCCTCATACATCCTCCTCACTCCATATTCCCTCAATCACCCTCCCTCCCTCCCTCCTCCTTTATACGTGATCGAATACTTATACATACGTATCTATTTAGTATTTTTCAAAATTGAATTTTTCAAAAATAAGAACTTTTTATAATTTTAATGTACAGATTGTGATGATGATGATGAAAAAAAATCTTTAAAAAATTCAATAAATATGTGAAACTTATTTTCAAAGTTTCCTGATCTTGATCAAACTTGAGAATGGTCTAGGTATGGAAAGGGTCCGCTGAAAGTTTCAGTCTGATTCATTGAAAACTAATATTTTACTACCAGATTTTATAATGGTATGATTGGTAATTATGGTCATGGTAGATTAATATAGGTTTTAAGCTTTAATTTGTTTTTCCTTAGACGGGTTTGATAAAGAAGGTGCACACAAAAAATTTCGGCGCGCCAAAAATGCAGCCCCCTTGGCTAATGCCTCCGCTACGCCCCTGACTGAGAGTTATCAAAAGCTGGAGCATGTGTTTTATGGACCCTGGACGCCTTAAATATGGGTTGACAACGGGGGGCGGGTGTGAAACTGTAGCAAAAGAGTGTGTGTAAAGTTTACCATACCGAAGGTGTGTACTGCAGGTGTATACATGTTGCATAGGTTTTTGTACAGTCTAGGAGAGTACATTTGTTTAATGTTAATTGTTTACTTAAAAATAAGTTTAATATACATGTAGTCACATGTAGCATACTATTTGTATATTTAAGTCAACACTATACAGCCAAATTTTCATGCAAAGAATATAATTTGATTAAAGTTTACATTTAACTAGTCGTTATTCAAGCTTGACAACATTATTCTGCAATTTCCTTGACTGTAATCATGTTGTGTGTTTGTACCAAAAGAGTGTGCGTAAAGTTTACCGTACTAGTCTGCAAAGTAGTGCGACTGGCTTTCTCATGCCAGACCAGCGCCATTTCCTTTCCCTTTATTCCTATTCCCTGGTACAGCGTATATACTAACGTATACTAAACTACTATGTAGTATGTATACTTTACTTGTAATGTACATGTACGTGAGACATCAAAGAACTATACAGAAAAAACAGAAGACTGCAAGATTTGTCGTATTTTGAATGTACTATAAAAAATTAGTTTTTAGCTTTAGTCTTTAAGTTGCAGGCTTTCACTTGATAGCTTGCAACATTTGACAATTCTAAAATTTGTAGGTTTTCAATTTATTAGCTAAAAGTTCTGTCAAAAATATTAAGTTTCTATGGGTATGCCTTTAGCTTAAAACTTAATAACATTCTTATTTCAAGCATTTTTATTCTTTCTTCTCTTCAACTCTTCTTAAGGGGGGGGGGTGCTTGCCCCTCCCCATTGCCACCCCTAGTTGCGCGCCTAATATTCTGTGAACAAAAAAATTTAAACTTTTAATGATATTCTGAAAAAAACACAAACTGGATGGATAGTTAACAAATGATAAACAAATGAACTGAAAAAAACGATGCGCACGCATCTTTAATTGCAACTTTTAAATTATGATAAATATTAAAACATTATAAATTAAACAATACAGTAAATTCATTTTAAAGTCCCCTACTACTCAGCTAGAGGCGCAGGCTTTACTTGCTATGCCTAGCAGCCAGTTAAAAAAGGGAAAAATCCATAAATAGTTAAAAGAGTATTATGGCGTGGCGTTTTTTGAATAAATTGAAATATTTAGGATTGATTTCCAGAACTGGAAAGATGAAGATGAAACAGAAGAAGAAACAAACAAATCTGAAAGGGTAAGAAGTTAAGAATACGAAACCATTTTTCCTTCTTCTTCACAAATTTAGATTTTTTATTGTTTAATATCTCGTTTTTAATATCTTAACTTCTAAACTTATCCAAGAATCAATATAGATAATTACTAAGCAGATTAATAAATAAATTTACCTAAGGATAGGAAGAATTAATGTTCCCTGCTCAGCTTTCTCATATATTAATAAATTAATTTATCTAAGGATAGGAAGAATTAATGTTCCCTGCTCATATTTCTCATATATTAATAAATAAATTTTCCTAAGGATAGGAAGAATTAATGTTCCCTGCCCAGCTTTCTCATATATTAATAAATAAATTTATCTAAGGATAGGAAGAATTAATGTTCCCTGCTCATATTTCTCATATATTAATAAATAAATTTTCCTAAGGATAGGAAGAATTAATGTTCCCTGCTCAGCTTTCTCATATATTAATAAATAAATTTACCTAAGGATAGGAAGAATTAATGTTCCCTGCTCATATTTCTCAAATATTAATAGTATACATATGCCCTGAAAAATTTGTCAGTTGGTAAGATCGCTATAGCTCCCCGCTAAAGACTAGAATTATAATCTTTGTAAAACTTTCCTAACATCTGTTTTCTTGCCTCGTCGCAATTTATAATTAATGAATTTCCCTCTAGATAAATCTCCTTCTACATTTATCTCTTTAGCTAAGCTGATAAACTAAGAAAACAGAAAATCTTTTGATGGGAGAAAAATAAAGAAATATTTTATATCCTGCAATACCTATTTTAAAAAACACATGAAAGATAATTTTTTGTATTAGGACCTCAACAAAACAAATCTTTCGTTTTTCGTTGAGAAAAGAACTGCATGCATGATAACTCGACTCAAATCTAATTTTCTATGCCTTATATCTTTACAACCTGATGCTGTGAACCGAAATTTCAAACTAAAAATTCTGCTGGATCAACACTTAAAGGCAGGTTTCTTAGCAAATAAAAACGGGGTTTCTGGTCAAAATTCGAAGTTTATTAATAATTAATTTGTCGAATTTAAACAAATTTAAATTGAAGTATCTTTTATTGTACGTATATTTTCAAACGGAGGAACAACCCTTTTGACATATTTCATCAACGAGGTTATAGTGTATGGAGTGATGATGTACGCTAATCCTTAACTAATTGTACAGGCCATGTACTTCACTTTCAAAGGTCAATCTGTATATTACAGTATTCGGGGGTGATTTCTGAAAATGTTTATTTCTATTTAAGCAAAAATAGGTTTTCAATAAAAAAAACTTAATAAGACAGTTCACATTATTTCAACTGATCTTTTCCGGCTTAGAGAATTAGTTTTCCATTTAACTATTGAAATCCGCTGCTCTTTTATCGTGTGCAGGATTACATTTTCACAGGAAGACGTACTTTTACACAGCAAAATTTTATCGTTAAAAACGGTACTGAGAAACTGTGAGAAACTGAGTAGAATTTAAGGTACACAACCTTCCCATACTCCGAAAGCGTACTGCATATTTGATGTTTATAACCGTATGAATAGGTCATGATCTCTTTTATCCTTTATTTGTACACTGTCCTATTTCTCTCAGGCTAATTTAAACGGACTGGTAGCTAAGATCCAGCCCCCCCTGTATTTCATAGTACGGAAAAGCTCTCTTTGGATTAGTTGAAATGGAGAAGAACGAATGAAGCCTTAAAAGAAATTCATCATATTTGATTCACTTGGCAGTGCAGTGGCTTGGTTTTTAAGATTTCTTTAGCAAACACCGAGCAATATTTATTCAATTTAGAAATGAGGACTTTACCAGTAAAATTAATTAACCAAAAAATGTTAACTTTTTAAACGATAACGTAAAACAAATCTCTTCCAAAAATGTATATCTAAACAATCCCATTAAAATTGCAACAATCGTTTTTGTAAAAAAATATTTCTCACCTGTCAATTTTTTTTCCCTTTAAAATCCTTTCTTTGTACACCGAGCACTCCAAATATACATGTGGAAATTAAGCTTTTGAAATAAACTAAAAAGTGTGCTTTCAGGAAAACTATCGACAAAACACAAGTGGATGGAGTAAGCATATTGCCGAGAATATTGCTAAGGTTACCATAAACTAAATATAATTTTAAAACCCTGGTTTTTATAGCTTAATTTGTTATCATTAAGGGTTCCCATCTTTGTCCGCTTGGAATATCTGTGATGAGTGGCAGTATGACGAAAGAAAAAGGTTTACCTACGATACATCAGGTTTGATTTTATGAAAGAAAAAGGTTTACCTACGATACATCAGGTTTGATTTTATTAAAGAAAAAGGTTTACCTACGATACATCAGGTTTGATTTTATTAAAGAAAAAGGTTTACCTACGATATATCAGGTTTGATTTTAGTAAAAAAAAGGTTTTTAGGCGTTTTGTGACTTTTTTCTGAGAAATAATGCAGAATCTTGAATTGTTAGTTGCCATACTACTATTATTCACCATCAAAATTTCGGAGCTTCATTAATGGATTTAAAAAAAATAAGAGTGAATTTTTGGCATCTTTTTAAATTTTAAGTTTCTACGGGGTCAGGTTAGGTACCACAAAATTCGAGCCTGATTGGTTTTAAATTGTCTTTTAAATCGTCTTTTATCTTCACAGATTTTTCTTATACAGTAATAGTATAGTGTTTCACTCAAAGCCGTTGATATCGAAAACTTCTAGTTTTGGAATTTCGAGATGGTCGTTCGTCATTAGAAATTGTCTCAATGTTTACGTTAATTTCAAATATTCAAAGAATGACAAGTTTTCATTTCATGGAAAATATCAAATCCTTTTTTCCCCAGCAAACATTTAAACATTTATAAAATTTATAAATTAGAAGCAACATTTTTCAAAGAAAATAATTGAATAAATTAAAACTCATTCAGTAAATAACTAACTAAACAAATTAAGATCATTAAAGAGGTCGATTTTAAATTTGTTTACAAACGTCTCTTACCTCTGATATTTTAAAAATTGTTTGATTAAAAATTGTTTTTCAGAAACCGTTCTTTTGTTTATAATTTGATTTATTTAAGAAAAAAGTTTTACGATTTTATCGTGTCTAAAATCAGGGTTTCAAGACGGATTTATTCATACCAACTTTTTTATTATTAACAATTTATTTTCTCACTTACATTAAACCAAAATTACAGTGTTAAAAATAGTTATTTATATATTTCCTGCTGTTCGTAAGAACTGCCAGAGTTCTCAATAAAAGTGTTTTGGGTTTAGAGAAAAAAACTCTAATGTCAACAAATAACTTGAATCAATTCTAGGTGAGCCAATTCTGTAATTTCTGTTATTTCTAGGAAAGTGGATTGACAGGCATAAATGTCTACAATTATTGCACAACTTATCAGGACTCTGATAATGAATTTATTTCTGACCTAGAGGAGGACTGATTTTTGCACTAACTGTAGAAAAAAAGATAAAAAAAATCTGTATGTATGTACACATCAACATTTAGCTAGAATGCACATAAAAATGTAAATTATCAGTAATACATAATCAACCATTTTTGTTTTAATAAATGTTTTAAAAGTTTAAATTATTTCCTGAATTAATTTATATCTTGCAATCTTTTTCGATTGAATTACGGTCATTTTTTCTATCATTTGTTTTAAAAAGTTTTGTTAATATTATAAAGAGGGTCAAAATATTATAACTATATGGTTGTTCTTAATTTGATGTATGAAAAATATTTCTTGAAAAAAGTCTCAAAAGTTACTTCTAAAAATCTTGGTCTGAAGAAATATTTAGTGATATAAACACGTATTTGGTCATTGACTGCATCAAATTAAGAACATCCATAATATGTTTATGTGAAAAAATGTGAGAAAAAAGACCTCTTAGAGAAAAAGAAAAATATTACACAAAAATGTTTGTGTTTTATTTATTGCTTGTTCCCCATTTCATTTTTGAGATATTTTAATGTATAGGCCTCAAAAACCTTAGGAAACCATGTATCTTAATAACTCAAGTATGTTTTGGTCTGATGCAGTTCCAAATTTTTGGACTTTTTAACTAACACATATATGTCCCTTTAGTTTTCAGACAAGCTGACTGAATGCCTTATTTAGGCTTTACCAAACCAAATCTATATTTAGACCTACTTTCAGGACTACTTTTAAAAGCTTTTGACAAAAAAGCAGATTTAACAAGTTGTTTAAAGAAATTTTACAAATTTTTTGCACAAACACCATTCAAAATTATACACTATCAGGTTTCAAAGATATAGGGAATAGAATATTTGAGTTCGTGGCAAAAACTCAATTCCTTAACACATTTTCCAGTTTTTTTAAAATACTTAATTAGAATTAAAACTTTTTAAAAATAAATTTTGCAGATTTGAATTTTCTGTTTCAAGGGCTTTTTAAAAATGTATAATTTGTCATATCGCGCAAAATTTTTGTATTTAAACATATTGAACTAAATAGCTGGATTTCGCCATAAATATTTTCAAAAATGTTTAAATGTTATAGGATTAATTAGTATTAATTATTTAGGAAAGTAATTTAGTCTTTGCCACAAATTTTAGCTGTTAACCGTTGCTCTACAAGTTGTCATTTTTTATGAATCGTATTTTCCAAATATTTCTGTTTAAATTTGCGCATTTTCAAAAATAAGAAATGTTAACATTTTTTTGGGCAACATTTTTATCATAACTCATCCAGTTTAGTAGATATACCACAGAGTTGTCTGTTTCTTATTAGTTATGATTCTCTGCAACAGTAAACTTGTTTCTCTCTTTGCTTAATAATTAAATAAGTCATTAACAGACTATCTCTATGGCAGAAGATTTCATTCAACCATGATATATTCTGAGAGTTTCAGTTCGTCCTTACTCCAAGTGGGTAACTATTTTCTCTATTCAAGCCCAAGCAAAGTAACAAACAAGGTAACAAAGTAACAACCCCAAACCTTTACAGAAAATTCCATGCCCCTTCCCCCGCTGAGAAAATTTCTAGGTGTGCTATTGTTAACCATTAATTTCAAAACCTCTATAAAATGTCGTCTTATACTGGAATCTCCTGTCGGAGACAGCCAAACCAAATTTCCAGCCCGCAAATTCCATTGTCCTCCTCCGACGGAGCTTAAAATATTTTTGTTGTTGTGAAATCATTAAAGTCAAGCAAAATATTTTCATAAGAAGCATAAGTGAATTTCGTTAAATATTCAACTGTAATTTTTCAGAAGTTAAAAAAACGTATATCAATACTGATCAACAAATAAGTCACCCCTTCTATACTTAAATAATTCGTAAGATTTTTCTACTATTAACATTCATTATAACATTGTACAATTAAACATGACCTATAATTTATGTTATTTTTTAGGAAATAAAGATTTTGTTATCGAATTTCTGTGACGGGGTTACTCTGTTGTGTGTGTATTGTTCGGCCATCGGGAAAGAATCGTCTGGGGATAATAAACACCCCTTTCAAAATCCTAACCGGCCTATTATCCGGATTTGTCTAGCGTGTTGCTATTTATGAAAATAACGTTTTTTAATCTCTTACTAGTAAAATTATTTATATATAAAGTAGCAATCTCTGTTTGGGTGTTCTCCTCCCCCTATCTCCGACTCTTACTTATACACTACAAAAAAACACTATCGCATTGAACGGAAAAATTACAGCTAGCTATATCGCACACCTTGTGGGATATAAATATAGCTGCTGTTGATATATTGCAATACGTGTTCGTTGAAGGAAACAACATTCGTTATAAAGGAAGCAACTATTATTATACCGCACAGAGTGTGTGACATATCTAACAGTAGTTTTTTCTTTGAATGTTATTGATATATATATTCCAGCAAAAGCCTTTTTTTGCAGTGCATGTTTTCACTTCTTCTAGCACTCTTAAACTTACACCTTCGAACTGTAAACTAGATAGAGGAGGAGAGGGTCAAATTTATACAACATTATTGGTTTGAGTTTGAGACCTCGTAGCTCTTCTAGTTTTATTTTACGCATACAATTGTTAAGACTAAAAGATTATACGTGGATATCGAGTACAAAGAATCCTCATATATTAATAA